ACAGATATCATTTAGATCTTGCACAATATCAATGAACAAATGTTAGATTGAATTGAAAAGGCTAACTTAGATAAAAAAAAAAAAATTATAAAGAAAATATTGACTATAGATTCAAGAACTTTGAATTCGAAACAATATATAAACGCAAAATCAAACAAAAAACACAAACTTAAACCCCCTAAAAAAGGAAATATGACTTTTCGAACTAAAAAGTTAAAGAAAGTGCTACGATTTTGTTATTTTAGACAAGCGAAAATGAAACAAAAACTTAAGAACATAAACAAACCAACAATTTCCATGATAGAGCTAATTAAAAATATGAAAGGAAGTTAGATTTTTACAATGTCTCTGGAAAAGAGTAAATCTTACTTTTTCTATTTATTTTCTTATATTTCTCTCTTTGTTCTTTAGTTTTATAACATGTCATTTAACCCTCGTTTGGCCCCCATTTTGTAGAAATGAAAATTAGTAGAATAGTTTTTTTAAAAAAAATTGAGTAGTTGAAAAAGAAGGAAAAATTTTCGATTTATATGTAATATTATTTTATGAAAGATTGTATGGTTAAAAATATGAGAGAGAAAAATGAGATGAAAATTAATGGGGACCAAAGGGGGGCTTAGCCTCTCTTTAACAATCATTTGGGGTGTTTGAGCCACATTATTTTGGTAATAATGCATTTTTGAATAGTGTATTGATGGGAAATGTGTGGTTAAAAAATAAGGAAATTTTTTTGATCTGCTTGTAATAATATTTTATTAAAGAATGTGTGGTTGAAATGAAGTCAAATCATTGTTTAATAATGTATTATTTTAGAATAATGTGGCTCAAACATGCCCATTATTTCAAAACTCTTTAATTCTCATTATTATTTTTAATCACGTATTTGTACAATAAAATATTTTACACGTAAATACAAAACTTTTTCGTACTTTTTCACTATACATTTTTCAATAAATTATTATTCAAAATTCCATTTTCTCAAAAAAAAAAAAAAAAATAATAATAATAAAAAAAATAAAATTTTGTAGTCGGTTCGTTAAGTAATCCTTTAGTTTAGTTAATAAACCTATAAAAACGAGACACTACTAGAAAAAAGTGTCATAATTCGCTGTTTCGTCATTTTTATGCTATTGGCTCGATCCGTCTTGTTACTTGGTTCATCTCTTGGATTAAGAGGCTATAGCGGCTCTTTCTTCATTTCTTTCAGTGTCACTACAAGCGTTCACTAGCAAAACCCTTGTAATTTTTATATCTCCTGAACTATCAAAAATCGCATAGGGTTTTTTGTAGATGTAGATAAATCTAATCATGTATAACAACGGACAGGAGATGTGGAACCACAACAGTAATCCTGCGCCGCCGGGCACGAGCATTAGCGGCGGAGCAGGAGCGGCGCCGATTATGGCTCCGGGGACTAGCGGAGTAGCTCCTCCTGGACCACCGCCTTCAATTACTCCTTCGTACACTGTTCTTCCGACAGAGGCGCAACTCGACGAGCGAGCGAGAAAATGGATGCAACTTAACTCGAAGCGGTATAGTGATAAGAGGAAGTTCGGGTTTGTGGAGACGCAGAAGGAGGATATGCCTCCTGAGCATGTACGAAAGATCATTCGGTAAGTTTTCTTGGGTCTTGACGCCGCCTAGTAATTATGTTGAGGTGTTCAATTATGATTTTGTAAGTACAGTGAGTTTCCTGTGGTTTCTTAGGGTTCTGATTCTGGATTAATAGCTTGTTGGACAATTTATTCTGTGAAGATTAACTTGAATTAAAGATGATAAATTTTGTGAGAAGCTAGATAGACCCTTCTAAAAGGTGCTAGAAAAGTTTTCAAGTGAATTGAGCTCTTAAACTGGCCAAAAGGGATTAGGAAATGATTTGCTTGGTGGGAGCATGATGGATAAGGGGATCCTTTGTTAAATGAATGCTGGGTGGAAGCACAACGGATCTTTGGTTAAATGCTCTCGATGTTAGTATGAAAAGTTCTCTAATATTATGAAACCTCTTTTCAAACACCCCCCCCCCCCCCCCCCCCTTTCTTTTTTCTTTTTTTTGGGTGGGGGGGTGTGTTG